ATTATGTTTCCTAAAATAAACTTTAAAATTGGAAATATACTATTATCCATTCTAATATTCCATCATACAACAGCTAAAAAATATAATTAATAGCCATTGGAATGTCTCACCATTGTCTGAAGACCATTGACCATTATTGTCTTCTCATCGATTGAATCACTATGTGACAGCCAAACTTCAAAGGGACCCAGTACCCTCTCTGTCTGGTTTATAAGGTTCAAATGTACCTATGAGAGCCCAAAAAGATATATTCAAAATTCATGATTGATAAATTACAGCCAGGTGAAGAACATATATAGCATGCATTTGATTTTTCCCAAGCTACTTTAGCAACATGCATATCATACTTTTCATCTCAACCTCAAAATTATTGTACCGTCTGAAAAAGGATTAACAAAATTGACTACAAGTATAAATGTCATAAAAGATTGGAGCTGCTGATATTGTGTAATTACTTCCAAAACATTTTAAATCCCACAGCAAGTGTCAAATCTTTCATGGTCAGATAAGATACTATTAACAACATCACTTGAACATAGATCTCCCAGCATTATTTAACAGGAAAGCCATGAAACAGGCCACTATCCTGTGTCTCACCATTTCGGTCCCACCAGCACAATGAAAACATATATCAAATTCAAGAGGTTAGCATAAGAAGAAAGAGAGAGAGAGAGAGAGAGAGAGAGAGAGAGAGAGAGAGAGATAAGATCCAAGAAAACATAACAAGAAAAGGAATAACACCATTCAAGTTGCAATACTACTACTGATAAAAACTCTGGGTATATTATTAAGTTATTAATAAAGTAGTGGTGCTGGTGCATAGACATATGATAATGCACGAGAACATTTTCTTTGAGGGACAAGATGAAGCAGGGAGCAGAAAATCCTGGAACAACACATGTTACGCAATTCCTGAGTATCATTTGTTACATATACAATGATGATTACCAAGAAAGGTTTTTCCAGGATTATGAAAGATGGCACCTCCACAGTCTGCAACTCAATCACCTTGCGAGTGATGGGCTGCAATAAATACAAGGAATAATAAATTTGTCAATTTGCAGAAAAATAAACTAAACATTATATTAATTAAAGAAATCACAAAGGCCAGTTACAATCTCAAACATGTGAAAGAAATTATACTTCTTGGTAATCATGCTTCATGGAATTTGTCAGCTAACTTCCCCTTTTTTTTTCTTTTTTTTTTGGAAACATTAGAATGTAGATTCCCTTGGGCAATGTCACTTTCCTATCAATTATAAAACCACAAGACAGAGCCTTCAAAAAGAAGGGAACGTTCAGTGTCTTAGCCGCAGTAAGATCCATTTACATATGTCCGGTCGGCAGGTCAAATGTCAAGCTTCTGGACTAGACTAAGAAGGGGAGAAATTAACTTACATTACCAAGAATATGTTGTGTCTGCAGGCGACCGGG